GAGGAAATCCTGCTTTTGCCCCCTCCTGCCCCGCAGGCAGGGCCCGGCGGTGGGCCCCGCACAGCGCCCCGGCCGCCGGCCAAGGCGCTCCTTCAGCCTCCGTGGAAGCACGAAGTCCTCACAGGTGGGAGTGTGCAAAACTGCGCCGTTCCCCTTCCCCCTGCCACCTCGGGGATCCTTTGCAGGGACTCCTGCCCCTGCCCACGTTACATGCAGTGCAATGAGTCACCCGAGCTCCCGGAGCAAGTTCCAGGCCCTGCTCCACCTTGGCAGCCAGCTCCCCGAGAGGACTCAGCACTAACGCGGCCAGGCCCAGCAGTCACGTTCTCACAAGCGTCCTTCAAAGGCCTCCTTGCAATAAGCACCTGCAGAGAGCCTGCACGTCTGCTGAGCCCCGGCAAGCCCAAGCTGAGGATGACACACAACCAAAGGCAGCACTGTCGTGGCCTCCCCGAGACAGCAGAGCTGTAATTCACCGTTCTTCCACTGCTTCGCCCGTTGAGGAAACGGCAGCGATGCGACACGACATTTTAGCACAAGTTGCCACCAGAACACCCTATAGCCCGCGTGCTGACGAGCTTCCCACTCAGTCTTCTGCCAAAGAGAGCTTGACGCTCGTTATATCACATTTTGTATGTAAGGTGATTGTTTTTAAGGCCCCTCCCAACACAGTTTGGTCCCACGGGATCCCATAGAGAACCATTTTCTAGACTTGAAATGAAATCTAGCATCTCTGCTGGGGGTTTCCACTTATTCTCTGCTGGACAAATGTAAAGAGACAAGAGCATCGCTGCTATTGTGCACTTTATTTCTATAGGTCCTCTCACTGAGGATCTCAAAGCACTTTTCAGACACAGAGTCTGCACATCGTTACCAGTTTACAGGTGGTGACACTGACAGCAGATCAAAAGATTTGCTCAGGGACAGACAGAAGTCCATGCAGGAGCTAGATGCAGAACACCAACTAACTCCTGGGCTTCTGTGCAAACTCACGCGTTGCCTCCTCTGGAATGACTTTAAGGTTGATTTTGTAATCACGAGTATTCCCTATTCATCGCAGGGCTATTACAAAATAAAACACTGAATAAGCCAAGCCAATAGCCTGTCTAGGGCCAAAAACCAGTTAGCTTTTACCTGCAAAACACTGTTTAGAGCTTTGGGCACAGAACCTAAACTCCGCATGGCTTTAAATCAACGGATAAAGGAGAGAGGGGAAAAAAAAAACCCCAAAACAACAGCAAAAAAACAGACTAAGAACAGTATTAAATGAGAAGTGAGGATGCAAATGAGCATGAATTCAAATACTCCTGGGAGGGAATGCTGCCTGCATTTACCTGGTGAAAGCTTCTGGCCTGGCAGCTGCCACCTTTGCTCTCCCTGTTTCAGGCAGTAGCAATTTCTATTCATTAGGCAGTACTTTCCACCACATACTTCAACGGACCCACCAGCAGAAATGAAACAAAACAAGTAACCAACACAGAGGGAACGAATGAAAGACGTGCATATGCACGCACACACACACGCATTGGAACATATTGGGGTGAAACATTTACATTTATATTGAAATATGCACTAAACAGAGTGAGCTCTACCAGTCGATGCATTTTTTGCCAAAGCAGAAACACAATTTTTTCCTGGAGAAGGTTCAAGTCAGTGACCAGTAACAGGGCAGCGCCTCCAAGCAGGTAGGCAGGTCACTGCAGAGAGAGGTTGCAATCTGTTTTCACACACACTGCAAGCTTTCCTCCTTAGAGGTCCCCATCCTGCATGTGCAGTTCCCCCCCACCCCGGCCCGAGCTACACGAGATGGACTCTCCGTCCTTTCACATCTTTTCTTTTGCTTTTTCTTTGCTGCAATAAATATGAAACTGGCAGTGCTCACAGGCCACAGTACAGAGAAGTTTCCAGGCTTCAGCACAGAACTGCAAAATGCAACTGGCTCGTTTACAAAAGGAAAAAGCCCCAAAGGGTCAGTTCTTTCACAGCAACCATCAACAATGAAATAGTTCATGCTGGCTGGGCAGGGGCAGCCCAGCCCAGCCCCGATCCCAAGAGACATCAGTTGCCCACAGCTGGAACTAAAGCTTCTCTTCACTTCTTGGGATGAGGCACTCATCTTTTCAGTACTCGTGCAGCAAGGAGGGAGGGTCCCTCCTTGCCCGCTCACAAAAAACACTCATTTTGAGTGGGACAGTTTCTTACTAGGCAGCAACAAGCAGAGCTAAAGCCCAGAGAGAAAGACATCCTTATGCAGCGCCAGCACGTCTCAGAGATGGTTACGGTAGCAGACGAGAGAAGGAGGGCCACGAACGCTGAACCAAGCACAGAGCGTGGCACCTTAGCAAGCCAAGCTTAAGCAGAGAGACCCAGCAGAGCTGTCCTCAGTCGCATTGCAGAAGACTCACAAACCTGCCAAACCTCTCTCATTCCACCCAGCACCCTGCCAAGAGGTACTGACTCACAGCTGAACACAGCCTCACTCGCACGGGCGTTTCGTTAAGAAGTTAGAGCTTTTTATTGAAGAATACATTCCTGGTTAGCATCTCTTTAACCAAATATGCTGACAACACGGAGAGAAGCAGGGATGTGTAGGGTAAACTAGCACACTGCCTTTTTACAAAAGCCTAGAAACCTGAAAAGCTCACAGGGAGCAGAATCTGCTGTATCCCTTCTCCCTAAGCGAGGATAAGTCCTTTCACCAAGCATCCTCCACTCTGGCCTCTTTTTAACATTTATTTTTACATTCTTTCTTGCCCCAGCTTCTCCAGGGCGCCTCTTTTCCTGTCAGAAGCCTGAATAACATTCCCTTAAAGCCCATTCTGCAAGGCAGTGGAGCTACAGAGCGCACAGGCTGAAGAGCCTCCGGGCACAGTGCATCCCTAATCTGGCTTGGGGATGGAGGACCATAACCTCTCCTCTCTCCTACAAGCACTCAGACACCTTACATTTTTGTTTGTGGGAAGTGGAATGCTTCATCCTTCCTTCATCTGTGTGTAGATCACATATACTGGCAACAAAACACACACTATGCATGCAATCCAGGCAGAAATCCTGCTATGATCAAATCTACAGGAAAAGGGGAATGTAGTGGGGACATTAAAGTATTCCTTAATGCTAGATTATAGACGGCATTAAACACCAGAACCCTTTATTATAAAAAAGGGCAAACAGACTATATACAGTACCTATGTACTTTCATTGCAGTAGGGCACAGCAAGCAACCTGGACAGCTAAACACCCCTCATTAAGAATATGGTATGGAGTGCCTGCTAAAAATGCATCAGTTCCTCTCCAATTTACCTGCCAAGATGAGCATGCGTGACTGCAGATTCCACTTACGTTGAAAGAAGCGCAGAGATCTGCATTGGCAGCTCTTGATCAGCTACCTTTAGTGCGAAACACTGCGGTGTTCGCGCAGCACTGCCAAGCTCCAACTCTGGTAGGCAAGTCAAGGAAGAACAGAGTTTGTTTAAAACTATTTTATTTGCAAGTATATTCATCTATTCCTCTAGGGCTCTGCATTTAGGGTCCAAAACAGTTTCTTCTTCAAAAAGATAACCTTTCACTTTTAAATGAAAGGTTGCTTTTATATTATCATTAGTAGACTATAATCAGCCCTCATTTAAAAAAAAAAAGAAAGAAAAAGAAAAAGAAAAACCCCAACAACAAAACCATCTAGCTGCAGTCCCTGTAGGAGGGCACTTGCCACACTGGCTCCCTTGGCTACAGGAGAGGGGCAGTGTCCAGGGCAGGAAAAGACTACACCTTGACTTCACTTTTTACCATAAGAGGCTGTAGTTGCTTGAATAAAATGTTTATACAAGTAAAACAAAAGCGATAAAGAAATATACACCTTTGAAACTGTAAAGCTTCAGACTGATTTAGGCCTTGCAAAAAGGGGCTACGCATATGGATTTTCTTTAGGAAAAAAGGATGTAACAGTCATACTTAAAAAAAATGAACGACAAACAGCACTGCAAAGAGCCCTGTGGCACAGGCATCTCAAAGGAATGAAATGTCAGTTTTACAGTAGCGAGGAAGCAACTGCCTTGTGTGATATTTACTGGGTAATTAAAATCCTAAATTGAACAACTGTTAAAAGCCAGCAATACCGCACACAGACAGGAGCGGAGAACAGGACAGTCAGCGACACCTGCATGGGACTGCCCACACAGAAAGCAACATGGAATGAAGAGTGCCCCAGCTAGTAGGCATGGTGAAATAAGCACATGAACAAGCACCTGAGAGCGTTACAGAAGCTCAGTTAACGGTTTGTTTTGTTACATTTCTGAATTCCAGTTTCATGCTGCTTCAGAAACAAGGAGCAAGAAAGCAACAAGTGTCACTTAAACACCCCTAGCAAATAAAATTTTAAAAGGTGGCACCACGTTCAGGAAAATGCAGCTGTTCTGACTTCTTGCAAGTGGAATGTGATTCTTGTTCACAGGCTAATACACTGAGCACAATCCCCACAGCCGAGAAGGGGGAGCCAGGAGCTGCTTATGGGCTGTCAGAGACAGGCTAAAAAGGTTCTAGGGCAACCACAGAGCAACAATACATGAGAGGGGCACAAAGTGACAGTCCTGTTCTCATTTTAAATGAGGAATGGTTTAAAAGTAAAACTCTTCTTCAGCTAATTTCCTCCTGCAATAAAACCAACTAAGCCGGCCCTTGTAGGTACAAGACCAGTTAAACATTAGCCTTCCCCCTCAAAACACTAGATACGAACATCCGGTAACATTCTACAATGGAAAGTGCTTTAAGAAAGAAGGATTCTGTAGTGCCAGTGACAGAACTGATCTGATGGGCTGCATGATGTTAACACTGATATCAGCTAATCAGGCCAGAGCAGCTCGTTTCTCCTCAGGGGTCTCCTCCAGTAGCTGCATGATCAGTTCATGGAGGGGTTTGCAGATCTTTGCATAGCCCCCTCCTGTCAGGTGCAGGAAATCAAACATGTCGTGGTATGAGATGGTGCCATCTGAGTGCACAAAGCCGACGTCTACATCCAGAAGCTGCACATTGGGCAGTTTGGGGAGTGAGGCTTTTAGCAGCTGGTTCACCTTGGCATTCTTCTGCCGCAGAGGGTTTGGCTTCTCTCCGCGAGGTAGCAGGCCCTGACACAGGAAGGAGGCAAAGAAGAGCTTTCATACAACTTTGACGGTGTGCTAACGCCTTCTCTTTCAATTCAAGCATCCCTTCAAGATTTAAGATGTCTATGATAAGGGGAACTCATCCCTTAAGTCTGACTTTCTCCGTTCAGATCTAATTTTAAGTACAACTGAAGGAGCCAAGTGAGCTACAAGCACAACTGGAATCTTTACGTTTATCTATGTATCTCTGCGCTCTTTTTACAAGGTTCCCACAGCGTACTGCTTGCCATTGCTCAGCTTCTCAACAGGAGAAGCACCGGCAACCTATTACAACAAGGAAGCAAACTAGCATTTCCAGTCCCAGTTCTGATCTGGGCACCTTCATTCCTTATAAGAAATTTCATTGGAAAAGTCTAACTGGGACAGCAACGCTGCTAACAAGAACGCTCGTCTCTGAAGGGGCTGCAACGATGACTTCTGCAAAGCCAAGTGAACAAGGGGAGAGGCATACAAAGCAGAGAACGATAAACAGAGTAACTACCCTCCCCCATAATGATCGAGTAACTCCCAGTATCACAGAGAGATGGCACAGGGAATACGGGTCTTCTGCAAAGCACTCTGTTTTCACAGCACTCCGAGAGACATACCAGTACGATAACTTTGGCCTGTGGCTGCTGGGTATTTATCAGACGCACAATTGCCTCAATTCCACCTGCTACTTCTTCTGCTGTGTTTTCATGATTATTTGTTCCAACCCAAACAACAATGACCTATAAGGAGAAAAAAAGGTTTGCAACTTTTGCAGAACAAGTTGTAATAGTCTTGCTGACTGGAGGAAAAAAAAAAAAAAAAAAAAAGGAAAAAAAAAAAAAAGGTAAAATCGTCATCTGCAACCAACCAGGCTAAATTAAGAGGTAGGTTTAAGGATAAACCCAGGCCTGCAAGAGGTCTTCAGCTGTCCATTAGGCAGATTTCTGAATAATTTCTTATGAGCTTCAGATATTCCCCTCAGTACAGACTAAGAACCAGTACTATGGAAGCCTTTTTGGTCAGTCAAAGAAACATCAAGAGCTCATCCCATTTTAATGTAGCCTCTTGGCCATCCTCCTGGAGGAGCCTGCACTGGTTAAAAAGAAGTTAACGTAGACACCCTATAAGCCTCTCAGGGACAGGGACAACAGTAAAGTTCTTTAAAAGGAGACGAAGACAAAAAAGATTTTAAAACCATTAAATACAGAGTCAAATATGAGTGACACTCCCCCTACCTACTTGGAGCATGCACTGAATAACTGCCTTGCACCACACTACCTTGGTGCACAGCTCATTGCTTTCAGTAAGGAAGTTCACAGTAGGGATGCAGTTCTACATGCAGACCGGGAAGCTGATCTTTGCTGTGTATAACGTACATCTTTACTAATTTCGGTAATTCTTTATCAAGAATTCCACCATCCCTTTCCAAGGGCTGACAACACATCTCAGATCCAAGATCCACGCTGCAACTCCAAGCTATACCTACCTACAGTAAATACAAAGACCTGGCCAATGTTTTCACTGGGACTGTACGATCACTTCTATTTGCTGATGACATACTCTAATTTACACATTCAGCAACGTCAACCTTGCGTACGAGAAGTACAGTTTTGTTTCCAGACGTTCCAAACATCTTCCAAATGCTTTTGGTTTGGCCAAACACATTTCAGTACCATACGTGTACTTAGTGCCAACAACTGCTCAAACAAAAAGACGCTTTTAAGAATAACAGCTCACTCAATTTTGCCCCAGCCAAGCACTGAAGTGTTTTCTAAGTCAGCACAGGGCTCCCTTATTTGGTTTTCTGCTTATACCTTCGGTTTAATGTTCTCCAGTTCACCATTCTTCAGTCTCCACAGAACGTGTCCTGTTGTGTCTCCACCAATCCCAAAATTCAGTGCATGAAGCGGTGAGAAGAGTTCTCGCCATATCTGCAATCAGAAATCAATTTGCTATTTCAGAGCCAGCACGCTGATCACGAAAGAAAAAATTGCTACACACAACGCTTGCAGAACAAAGTTACTCAGTCACCACCACTGCAGAGCTGCAGAATTGCTTTGTTCTCCAACAGAGTTTTGCAGATTAAGGAAATGCATATGATCTAGCTAGTCCCTCACATAAACTTTGTTTCTGGGGCAGTCTTTAACATCTTCTCTGTCACCAGAAAAGCAAGCATGCCAATACATGTAGTTCATCATGTGCTAGAGGAGGAGTCAACCTCTTCTGTCCAAGATACACCTACCAAGATTTCAATAGTACACTCTTGGAGATTCAAAGAGCTAGTAAAGGCTTGCGCACGTGTGACAAAGCAGAGGCAGATATAAATTACTTCAGAGAAAGACTGAAACGGCTTACAGAGGTAAACTGGAAAGGCTTAGTGCAAGCCTGGGAAATTAAGGAAACGGGGTAGAACAAAGCCGAAGAAAAGGCAATAAATTCAGAACGAAACAGAAGGACTTGTCACTATTACACATGACCATAAGTTACTGGATTAGTAGTGATTAGGGAGACAAATGCCAGTTCATACAATCCCATAGCTTTCTTTCCTTTAACAGTACCTCATATTGCTGTAGCAACTGCACCATGGAGTCACCCACAAAGAGCACGTCGGGTTCCTTGTCTTTGCAGTCCAAGACAAATCTGTTGTGCTGTTTAAAAAAAAAAAAGTGGCAGAGTGAGCTCTGACTGATAGCTTCTCATCAGCATCTCTGCTGCAGGACAGAAAGGGACAGTTGCCCAACCAGTTCCTCCTGCTGCCCGACTGAGCCATTCCCTCCTGTGCATCCTCCAACGTGCTCCTCCACGTTAACCTGTGAACTGCCGAACGCTTCTCTGGCTGCGCAAACCCCACCATTGCACACGGCCTTGGTTCGGACAGAGCAGCGTTTTGCTGACTCTGTGTGCTGCACATAAGTAAGGCCTGAGCCTGCCAGACACTCATTAAATTCAGCAATTACAGAGCGGAGAAATTAACAGTTAGTCACTCTGGTGACTATCCTCTGGCTATTTTACCCTTGTCTAGGAGGAAACGTTGCAGCAAGAGACCGGCAGTCCAGACACTTTGGCTCTGCTATTTTCAGCTCGGTCACTCCCTTGCCAAGACACACACTGGAGAGCACTGTTTTGCACGGTTTTTTAAGACGTGGGTTGGCAATTCTTCTCACTTAGTGGGCCAACAGGAGTATTTTCTGAAGCTGTTTCACAGTGCAGCTTTCAGGTTGCGTAACACCACTACTTCTGGTTTACTATAGCACTGCAGGTATGATATGTACCAACGACCTGCCTGCTTCTGGGTAGCAGAGCTATTATCACGTCAGGATCAGAAGCGTGACCTGAACAGGCCTGTACACCACTCAACTGACAGCCCCCAACCTCTGAGTAAAGATTGGGAAAGACACTTGTCAGACCGAATCATCTTACCTGTGACATCCATCTGTCATCCCCCTGGATATCTTCGGCAGCGTGTGGAACTGCTGCTGGATTTGAGTCTCCCTGGCTCATTCTATTCCTGTGGAAAGAACGTTTTAGAGCAGCAACGTTCAGGAGCTATGCCAGCATGCTAACACTGGGAGTAAAGGCCAGCTGGCCAGAAATCACTGCACTTCCTGACATTCACAATGAACAATTCGTGACTATTTCTAAATATATAGATTTTTAGCTGGCAATAAAATCCTTTTTATTCCACGCAGGAACACCTGATGGCTCTCCAGACGATCCCCTGGAAACCACCTGCTGATTGAGCAGCCAGGCACGAACACAAGCTCTTCGCAGAATAAAAGCAAGCTCCTGCGGGAGGACGCCCAGCCGGAGCACGCCTCAGCCGCGCGACTCCAGGCCAGTAACGGGGAGGGGAAGAGCCACTATCTGCCACACCAC